TTTTTTTTTTTTTTTTTTTTTTTTTTTTTTTTTTTTTTTTTTTAGGTACACTTTAAAGACACAGTTCGGGGTTGTTGTTTCTTTTCTATTTGACCGAGTGCGAGTATCGTCCAAAAAAAAATATTGTATATCGATATTTTTTCATTGGTTATAACTGCGCTATAAATTCACGCCGTATTCGATCCAGCGGGATCCAGCGATTCTAGATTTTTCATGCGAAAAGTGCCAATGCATTTTTAGGATGTTAGTGTTTAAGTATGTAGTATATAAAGTATAATGAAGATAAGAAAGGAAAGAAAGGAAGGAAGGAAGGAAGGGAGAGAGAGAGAGAGAGAGAGAGAGAAAGAAAGATGACGGTTCTGCTATCGTAGTGCCGTTTTGCGATACATATATGTATATGTATATATATATATATATATATACATATATGTATACATATCTGACATTCGGTTGACTATAATAGAGCATAATTCCTCCTCTAATCCAATAATGATTTTAACCTACCTACCGTTAAATGAACAAAATATTCGAGTGGCGCGTTTCATCATCGAGTCGGATTGATCAGTTAAAGATAAAAATGAGGAAGAGGATAAGAAATGTCTCTCGACGAGTCGAGGATTATTATTATTGTTGAGAGCGAGAGAAATAATTAATAAAGATAAAGAGGGGATGAAACACGCATAGCATTCGTTTCTATTCTATTGCAGCCGATTGATATGTATCGGCGATGATTTCTGACGATCCGTTCGCGATAACGATAATCATGTACACGTTTATTGCGAATTCTCATCGTTGTTGTTACTGTTTTTTATAGTTTTTAACGAAGCCAATCCGAGTATCAGTTGTTATTATCATATTATTATTGTATTATTATGATTTATCGTTTTGTGCACGTATTTTAAGAAATATTACAAATTCTAACGCAGTATATATTATATATTATATTATATATATATATATATATATATTTTTACTTATTCACTTATTGATACAGCTATTGTAATCGTGTAATTTTATTACTTTAATATCACTGTATTTTTATTATTGTAATAATCTATGATTATTAATCCTATCTATCTGCATTACAGTGCTGATATAGATCGATATTACCACGAGAAAAGAAAAGTTATGAGTAAATAAATAAATAAATAAATAG